GAGCCGCCATGGCGGGCGGGAGGCGGGGGCCGATGCGGGTCGGGGCCGGGCTGGGCGCGCTGCTCTGCGCCCTCCGTGAGTGCCCGCGGGGAACCGCGCCGGGAAGGGATGGCAGGGCCCTGCCCCTCTACTCCGGAGACAGGCTGAGAGAGAGGCTCCGGAGAGCTGGGGGTGTTCCGCCTGGAGAAGACAAGGATTCAGGGAGACCTTAGAACCCCTCCCAGTGACTAAAGGGGCTCCGAGAGGGCTGGACAGGGATTTTGCACAAGGGATGGAGTGAGGAGACAAGGGGGAATGGCTGTACACTGCTAGAGGGCAGGGTTAGATGGGTTACCGGGACGGAATTTTTCCCTGTGAGGGTGGTGAGGTTCTAGCACAGTTACCCAGAGCAGCTGGGGCTGGAAGTGTTCAAGGACAGACCTGGAGCACCCTGGTCTTGGGGAAGGCGTCCCTGCCCGAAGCAGAGGGCTGGAAAAAGATGGGCTTTAAGGTCTCTTCCAACCCAAACCACCCTATGACTCTGGATTTGGGAAGTATGGCTCGGCAACCTCTTCTGCTTTTTGATCAGAGTCAAATATCGCTTCCCTTCTTCTGGGAGAGGGTTTGCAGTTGAGACGTTCATGAGTTATAAAACTGCACTTGTTGAAGCTGGCAGCCCCTGTGATCACCGTGCTGTTACACTGTTGGCTTTGTGTCACCATAGATGTGCAGGCAGCCTGTCGGGACACCACTGTCACACAGGAGCTACTGAAAGAGGGCTTTCACAGGTGAGTCCTCACCCTGCTCTCCATCAGCATAACATGCCACGGGATTTTCTGTTGGAAGGAGCTTCTCTTCTTTTCATGTGCATTTGTATCAAGTCCCTGGGCCATGATCCCTGGGCATATGTCAGGAATGTATTAACAGGATCAAGGGATTAACAAGCTGTAGTGGAGGGAAGATGGGAGGCCCCTTTCTAAAACTTTAGTGGAAGGTATTGGTGGTTCTGAGACATTAACAAATTTTGGTTTTGGCCGTGGCTGTGGAGTTGAGGTGAAGAGGGCTGGATAGCGAAGAGTGATCGGAATTGCGTGCACACAGTGTGAGAGCTGCCTCTCATCTCATCTGAGGAACATCTCTCGGGGGTCTTGTGCCGACTTTTAAGTGGGGATGTAAATTTTTTGCTCCTGTTGCCATTTGAAGGGACCTGCTGGTGAAGGTAGAGCTCGGGGAGGATGCAGGAGGATGTGCAGTAGCAGCACAACTGCGTCTGCCGCCGGGAATCTACGTGGATCCCTATGAGCTGGCAACGCTGCAGCAGCACAATCAAACAAAGGTAATGGCCCCAACGCCAGGAGATCTGGCAGTGAGTCAGGTAAGGACTCAGGAAATTGTAATGTCTGGTCATTTTCTGGCTTGTTGAAGCAAGGTGATTAATTCCTGGAAGGAAGTGCCAAACAATATAATCTTTCTGGTGTCTCCTTGTAACTCAGCTCGCTCAGCAATCCCTGGCCCTGTGCTGCTGATACTCTCACACACAGGTGATGTACCAGGGAGATGCTGCTCCTCTCTTAGCCCCAGGTGAGCAGCTTTAAAAGGTTTGGGTTCAGAAGGTGGAAGGGAAACCCCCAAAGAGGTGCTGGTGAACTCTAAGTCACATGCTATGTGTTTGGACTCAGCAGCTTCCCAGCTTCGTTTTCACCCTAGCTTTTTGTGCTGCTTTCCAG